GCCCATGGAAGTATCGAACCACCTCAACTGGCTCCTCTTAATGTGGAGGAGCAGCGGTTCTACTCCGAGTCTCTCCCGGATAATTAAACTTCTCACCTTATCTCTAAGAGAGAGTCCAGCTCTGCAGAGGAAACTCATTTTGGCCGCCTGTATCCACAATCTCGTTCTTTTGGTCACTGCACAGTTTGTGGCCACAGGTGAGAAAAAGAACATTGACCTAAACAGAGAACTGCGCCCTGCAGCTCAGCTCCCACCTCCAATACTGCAGAAGCTGCACTGATCTGTCTGGTGTTTTTTTTTTGTGAACAAAACCCCAAGATTGAATTCCTCAAACTTGAAGCAGCACCTCAGCCCCCACCTGAAGAGAGAAATACACCCTCAGCTGAAAAACTGAGGTCCACGGTCTCAGATTTGGAAGTCCTGATCTTCAGCTGTTTCACTCGGCTCCAGTGAGAGCTGAAGGTCACAACGCGATGACGCCAACAGGACCACATCATCTGCAAAGAGCAGAGATGAGGCTACGGAACCAGACTCCCTCCACCTCCCTGCTGCACTGAGAAACTCTGTCCATGAAGGTTATGAGGAGAACTGGTGACAATGGGCAGCCCTGGCGTAGTCCAACTTCCACCCGGAAGGGGTCTGTCTTTATGCCGGCAATCCAAACTCTTGCACTGCTTGTATAGGGCCCGTAGTAATGGACCCCCAGTCTCAGTCTCAGAGCACCCCCTCCCCCCACAGTGGCGTCACAGCAAAACGCCTTCTCCAGGTCCACAAAACCCTTGCAGACTGTTTGGATAATCTCCCACACACCCTCTAGGACCCTAGTGAGGGTAAAGAGCTACTCCATAGTATACAATAATAATACAACCCTCACACATTTAAAAAAGAATAAAAAATAAAAACTCTCTAATCTGTGGTACTAAAATGTTTCCAATCAATATTTATTTCCCAGATAAAATGACTGAAGCAAGAATAAACAATTTGTTGATGCTCCACCTGAAAAACCTTTGAGTTTTGGGTGGCTGTGTCTGAGCAGTCGTCCTCCAGTGCAAGAGTTGGGGGTTCGATTCCACCAGAAGTCACATGCTGAAGTGTCCCTAGGCAAGACACTGAACCCCTCGTTGCCTCCGATGTGTGTCCCATCAATGTATGAATGTGACAAAGCACTGATTATTCTTTGTAGAGATCTAGTAGAGTGCTGTATGAATGGGTAAATGAGGGCATAGATTGTAAAGAGCTTTGAGTGTCTTGATAAAATAGAAAAGTGATATATAAGTACAGTCCATTTAAACAAAATAGTCCCTAAATTCCATTTTCCAAGAGCAGTTTACCGTAAAATCTTTAAAATGTTGTTCGTGATTCATCACACAGTTTATTTAAACCTTCTGGAGAAAACAAATCTACTTTTCTGGGAGGGTTTGTTCATGGCACTGATGCAAAAAGCATCAAACGTCCTTCACAGTCTGAAATTTCACCATGTCCTCATTTTCTTCTCTTTTCTTTTTAATTAAAAAAATTGTTTCATATCACCAAAACACTTAAAAAATCTGAAAGGTATGAAATACTTTACAAAGAACGACAGGAGGACACCACAACAAAAGATACAACTGCAATACATGTTCTCTGTTACTCTGCAGCTCAGCAGCCTGAACAATATGAAAGTTGAAGGAAAAAAAAAGTTTTGTAAGCATTTTAGATTTAACATGACACGATGTTCATCCTGTGATGAGACGTCGGGTCCAAAGCTGTCCCTGAGAGTTTGATGCTCTGTGGTCCAAGCATCGCATCAGGAACAAACAGAATGGAAGCTGCACACTTCATGGGTCTTCATAAACAACCAGTTTTCTCCCTGAACACATTTTTATTACAAACATTCGAAAAGACACTGACCTAAACCACCAGCGCAGTCCACTGAACAAACAGAAAGAGCAGTTTACAATACGAACATCTTTAAATGTACCGATGGAACTTACATCAGATGTATCACTAAATATTTGCTAACACTTCAAGTGTTGTTGTGTAATTGCTTGGAGAACTTTATGTTTCATTAAATCTTTTCAGAAGGGTTTGGAACTACCTTGTGCAATTTTCAACAACAACAAAAAAAAAATTGTAAATGAAGTATTAAAAAAACAACTAATATAGCCTTCAAAAATACTTTGCGCTACTTGAAATACTAGAAAACCTCATTAGATGGTCTTGAGTTGGACCAGTTGATTGGTCAGCTGGTTAATTTGACCAGTTATTGCAGTTTTTAATTTTTTATTTAATAAATCTGGCCTGAGTGTATGTTAAAGCAGTGATTCTCAAACTGGGGTCCCTGGACCACCGTGGGTCCGTGAGCCGGTGCTTGGAGATCCGGAAAAAAAATAAATAAATAAAAAAAAAATATATATATCCATCCATTATCTTTACCCGCTTATTCCATTTTTGGGTCACGGGGGGGGGAGGGGGGGGGGGGTCGCTGGTGCCCATGTCCAGCAATCACTGTGCGAGGGGCGAGGGACAACCTGGACAGGTTGCAAGTCCATCACAGGCACACATAGAGACAAACAACCATTCACTCTCTCACTCACACCTAGGGACAATTTAGTTACCAATCAGTCTAACATGCATGTTTTTGGCCTATGGAAGGAAACCCGAGCACCCGGAGGAAACCCACGCATGCACGGAGAGACATGCAAACTCCACCCAGAAAGGCCCCTGGACTGGGATTTGGACTAGGGACCTGCTCGCTGAGAGGCAGCAGCTCTACCAGTTACACCACCGTGCTGCCTTATTATATATATATATATATATGTGGGTGGGGTAGTTGAAGCACCCACTCCTGCCCCCACCCTCATTCGCCCCACTCTAGGTCCATGAGCAAGGCCCTTAACCCCCATCTTCTCCCTAAACAGGTCTCTCTTGAAAATGAGTTCTTGTGGTTCAATGAGACCTGGATAAATAAAGGCTAAATGAAAAAAAAAAAAAAAAAAAAAAAAAATATATATATATATTAATATATATATATATATATTTTTTTTTTTTTTACAAGCACGTAGAACCCATTAATATACACCAAAATGCAGGAAATCGCATCTACTTTATTCAAAATTTTCTGGGGGAGGACCCCCAGACCCCGCCCCCATCGGTCTGTTTACAAACTAACCCGTTACTTGCTGTGACTACTGCTGTTATGACTCTGTTCAGTTTTATTTAAAGAGTTTTCTGTAATAATCGGAAGCAATACATTGATTATGTTCATTATGTGAATAGGTAAAGTTTTAAAGTGGTTTTTGATGCTGTTAATTTTCTCAAAACTGTCATTTTTGTTAGTTTACATTAAAATCTTTGTTCATTAATTGTGTCTCGTGTTTTAAAATATAAAAATTGTATTAACAATATTAAAGAACAGGACTTAAGTATTTATGTTACAGAAATATTTCTATTGCATTAAAGAGACAAACTGAAGAAAACTACTTAATAAACATGAGGGTTATGAGGGGGTCCATGAAACCAAAAGTTTGAGAACCCCTGTTCTAAAGAGCAGACAGAGGCATCTGTTCGTACTCACTTTGTGTCAATCCACCAGCGCTTCCTGCAAGAACAATGCCTTTCATGGCAGGTTGACCTGAATAAAACACAAACTTCTCAAAGAGCAATGTTTCCTTTACCAGAGAAAATAGTTAAGACTTCATTTTGTTTTTTAAACAGAGGATGCTTAAACAGTTTAGTGCTCGTGGCTCTTCCTTCTATTGATCATTACACCCCCTGCTGCGAGCGTTTGTCCAAATCCCTTCAGTCATGATTGCATTTTTTATAACACGGTGGTTTGAAGATGAACTATGAACTTATAGCTATGAGCCAAAAACAGATAATTAAAAAAAAAGGGGGTTATATATCGGCCTGGCATTGGTCAGTTAAAAAACAAATCTGGATCATATCTACTTGGAAACATTAATGGATGCTGTTGGACCAGAACAGCGGTGCTCGTATCTGTTTTCTATCAGTAAACCAAACAATCGTCAGGCCACCGGTTACAGATAAGAGCTCCATGTGGGGGCTTCAGAATTACATTACTTACAGCAGATCCTGTTGGTTCAGGCAGGACGCCACAGTGAGCAGTGAGGAAGACCCTCCATCAAACGGCAGATTAAACTTCGCAGAAGAATTTATTCCATTGTGTCTTAAACATGTTTAAATGACAGCTCAGATTTTTTTAAAGTGTCTTACTGTGGAAACATTATGAACAATTGATGCCTTACTGTTTGTAGATTGCTCTTTAAACTACCTCAGACTTGGGGGTGGGGGGTGGGGGGGTGTACTTCTGACCATTGACACTAATAAAGATGGACAAAGTGACTCCATTAACATCTGTTGTTCAAAACTGAAGTCAAATCATCTGGGTTTTTTTGTGTGTGTGCTGCCATTCTTTGTGACTTCAACATCCCGCTCCCAGTCTTGTCTAGGTATCTGTTAATGGTTCTGACCCGGTAATGACCAGTCCGGGCAGCACCAAGAGCACAATGAGCTGCTGTCATCTCAAGACAACTCCAATCTCAAGCGTTTTGTTGCAGTTCATACAAACACTACTTTAACCTTTTAGAAAGATGTGGTTAGTTATAGTTATTTGCAAGCGCAAACAGCGGCAGCAGCTAGCTTTAGCATTTCCACTCGAGCCCTGGACACTTCCAGCAGGAATATTATAGCATTTCTGTTAGAACACTGTCAATCAAACCCCCATCAGTGAGAATTACATTATATTTCTTTAAACTGTGGTCGTTCAAAGAGACATCTGCAACAGGTAAGATGTTTTTTATACCTTACCTGTCATTGTTCATACATTTTCCTAACATGGTGCTGTATGAGAACTGTTCATAGAACCGCATCACCGTCTACGTTCTCTTTTTTTTTAAATCACAGCCAAGTTTTGAGACCCACGTGAACAAGCTGAGCGCTTCGCAGGCAGCCAAACATTTACACGTGCGCTGTATTTACAGAAAGTTGTCTCTCTCCTGCTAGATGACCGTGATGCGGCAGTTGGGGTCGTGCGGCGTGCTGGAACCCTCCGGTTTGACCACCGTGACCTTAGACGAGTGCTGCGAGCCGTGCTTCGCGTTCTGGCGACACAGACGCTCTCTGTAGTTCTGAGCGAAGATGAGCAGCATGAGCGGATTGATGCAGCTGTGGGAGTAGCTGAGGCAGATGCTGATGTTGTAGGCGTAGACGAAGGCGATGGTCGGCCGGTTGTTGCTCAGGTTGATCACCTGGATGACGTGGTAGGGCGACCAGCAGATCAGGAACAGAGCGATGACCATCAGGACCATCTTGGTGGCGCGCTTCGCCCACACCGACTGCTTCCGTTTGACCCGGCGGATGGAGCTGAAGACGTGGTAGAGGGTGAGCGAGTAGAAGGTGCTGATGATGATGAGGGGGATGATGAAGCCCAGGATAGACTGGTAGAGGGTGTACCAGTGCATGTCCTCAGGCCCGTCCAGGTACATCATGCACACCTGCAGGTGCTGCCGGCGGATCACCTTGGCGTACATCATGACGGGGACGGTGAGGAGGAAGCTGCCCAGCCACACCAGTAGGTTGATGATGATGGTCCACTGTACCGTCCGCTTCTCCGAGCTCGGGTGCACAATGGCTATGTACCTAAGAAGACATATTTATATATTAAAAAGCTTTACAGCAACATAAACACAACTGATAACATCAACTTTGTTCAAATGTATGTGGTTTTTTTTTTTTTAATCTAATCATTTTTATCTTTGATAAGACGGTAGAAAAATCTAAACCAGACAAATAAATATTATTTTATTGTATTTAAACATGTATTTAAATTTATTTTATTATAATAAATTATAAAATAAACAAAACAACAACCGTTTTAGCATGAATAAAAATGACGTTAGTTAACAGTAACTTGACTTAAAGAGGTGGTTGCAGTTTTATTGTAGGGTTCTGTGGAACTTATTATCAGTTGAAGGGAGTTTTTAAAGGCCTCACTTTGGAGGAAAATGATTTCAATTTGACCGAATTGATGAGAACAAAGATAGACTCATGTCTGGAAACATATTCACCATCGATATAGGCAAAACAATGCATTTATGACTTAAAGAAATTGATTATTTTTATTAATTATTGGAATTGTCCTCTTTTTGTAGACAGTAATATTTCTATAATGTTTAAAGGAATCTAACAATAAATCTCGTTTAATATTTTCAGTGACTCATAATTTATATTGACAGACACCACAATAAATAAAAGTGTCTGAAGAATATTGTAGTTTGATTTGGTGGATTTATTTATTGAACATGTGTCTTCTGTTGGTTAACATGTTGTATTTATTTAGAGCTTTAAAATCTTGGTAAACTGCTACCGATCAGTGATCATTATTCAACGACCACAAAAAGAAACTGAAGCCAAATGAAAAAATTTTGGTCCTAAACAATCTTCAGAGCGAGGAAGCTACACCCATCTTTGATGTTCATCTCAGCGTTGTTCACCTGCAAAGTGAGCACATTAAAAATCTTTAATGCAAATGACAGCGTTTTTGCTTACATGTTTCCATGGCAACGTCAGAGCCGCATGCTCTGGTTCTGATTAATTTTAGTTTTTTTTTTTTAATTTTATTAATGGTCATGGATGCACGTAGGATGTTTAGCAACCTGTTCTTATAGTTTATATGGTTTTATCATTTTGTAAAAAAAAAAAAAAAAAATTAAAAAGCTTTTATTGTAAGTCACATGACCGTTTGACAGGAAGCTGAATTAAGCACCTTAAATAAAAAAATAAAAAACATACAGGTACTAATGGAAAAAGGGGCATAAGTGGCTTTGAACATCTGTTAAGTTCCTTGCAAGAATCAATGCAGACATGTTCCTGTTTTTAGTTTTTCTACACCGCCTTATAATCTAGCTGTTTTTTCACTACTTGTCCTTTTAATTATCCTTGTAATTACCATTTTATTTTCACTTGTTAAAAAAAAAATTATTTGCACGCATCCTCTATGACTGTCTGTTGTTGTCATTGTTCACTTTTGTCATTACTCTTTGTTAAAAATTCTGGTCTCTCTTGTAAATGAGTCCCTGTTGCTCAATGGGATTAACCTGTCTAAATAAAGGTTGAATGAAAAAAAAAAAAAGAAATTAAAAAAACATTGCACGTGGGTGGAGAAAGACGTCCAGAGCTCCCATTAGTTTCTACAACTTGTCTATCTGCGAACATATTTAATTTTTATTCAATTTTACATCAGTACATTTCCTTGACCTTAAGAGACGCACCAAAAATTACTTTTAAAATACTCCCTGTTTCCGCACTCACATTTAAACTTTTAGTTCTTCAAATTGTTGCTCAAAGAAATATCTGCAGCAGGTAAGATGTTTTTTACAACCAGTTTAAAGAGCGCCACATTAAAACTGAACTGTCCCTTTAAAGGCTCCAAATTAAATATTTACAGCAACATCTAAAATGCCAAAATAGCCACATTTTTTCCAGACATTCTGAAAAAAGAAAGTCTTTTTAATCAAATTTATTGCTAAGAATCATGATAACCTGCTAAAGTTACAAAAGTTCCTCCAACTTTAATGATTAAATCAAATATTGAGGATCATCTTCTGAGAAAATGTTCAGTGCACGTGAGCTTTAGAGTTTATATTTACTTGCAAGTCTGACTTTTTATATTGAGGGAAAGTGTTAGCCAGCCGGTATAAATATACATTTTTTAGATTCAGATACATCTTCCTGAGCACGCTTTTAAACCGTAACAGCCCCTGCAGCGTGTATGTTCAACGTGCAACAACTCTCTTTAGTAAATGTTCCTTCACTTGCTCCGCCTGGAGTGGGAGACACGTTTCCATCCACAAAAACCTCCATGAAAATATATTTCACAGCTGTGAACACTCAAAAAGGAAGTTCTGGATGAAAGAACAGAAGCTTTTCTTTAACTCGTGTCTTTGTGAGCAGGATGAGCTGCAGGAAACCGAAGCATTCGATTCAAACAGATCCACTGAAAACCATGAGGACATTATACAGGCCTTCACAGTTTAATTACATACAAATAATTGGTGCTTTTAAACTGCACGCGTCTCAAAACAGAGATTACAAAAAGACTTTTATCTTTAAAAGGTTTGTGGCAAATTAAAAGCTTTAATAATTGTTTGTTTTATCTAAAAGACACTTTATTCTGAGCAACGTTAAACTCTGTCACTCTTTAAAAAATTTTTCGTTCCAACTAATGATGGACACTCTCTCCTCTCATCCTGATGATTTTTCTCCTTTCAACGTGAAACTAAACGCTCATTTTGATGTAGTTTAGTTTCAAACGTCTGTTTGATCTTCGTTTAAAATGAATCAAGTGATTCCAAATGACAGAGGTGGACTCGCTTTAATCAAAGTCTCCTGGGTGAGTAAAATAAAAGTTAAAAAGTCCTCAGCAGAGGAAGTCATCGGTCTCAGATGTTCCTCTGAAATGCAAATGTTCGTCACACTAAACAGTTCGTTGTCCCTAATGTGTTCAGATCACCTGATCGGTCATGGAACATCGAGTCGTCATGGCTGAAAGAGAAGGGTTTTTTTTGGGGGGGGGGGACTTCTTTAAAGAGGTGATCCGTTACATCCAGAACATTTACTACTGCCAGTTGTCATGGCTCCCAACTCTAAAAACAGAACAATATCCACGTTACACAATAAAACATGAAACTTGGTTGTGAAAAGCGTCCTATGACTTTTAGCTGCTTGTCAGTGAGGAGGTCACAGGTTTGCCCCCCGGCCTGAGGTCTTTGTGTTTATATGTTCTCCTCCTTTACTGGGTTCTCTCCGAATGAACTCTGACTCTGACTCTGAATCCTTCCACAGACCAACAACATGCATGTTAGGATAGTTGGTAGCTCTAAAATATCTCCAGGTGTGAGCGAGAGCGTCTGTATGATGTCCATACTGCAGATGCTGTAGACACCCCGCGACCTGAGAAGTAGAAGCGTGTAAAGAAAATGGATGGACTTTTGTTTGTGTTGTTCTGTTTGGTGTTGACTAAATTTGTTTACAGCAACCAGAAATGTCCACATAAATACTTTTTTTTTATGAAACTAATGAAAAAACCTTTGAGGCTGTAGCTCAGACAAACTTCCCAGAAAAATCCTCCAGAGTTTAAACTGGTCATGAAGATGGACTTTACATGACTGGATTGTGATAGTTCATAGTTTTTACACAATTGCAGCTGAAGTTTCATGATTTTTTTTTTTTTTTTTTTTTTTTTTTCAGATTTTTCCACAGAGTAATCGCACAGTAACTTTTGAAAATTCTAAAATTGTTCTAATCTTTTGCCCTGCAACGCTTTTGGTACATAATTATACATCAAGACGTCGGTAATTTAGTTTTATTTCACCCGTTGTGTCTCTTCTATAGGACACATTTTTTAAAACGCCCTCAGAGTGCAGACAGATGCTTCAACAGACTTCAGTTTGAATTTAACTTAATATTCTCTTTAAACCTTGACATGACGGCTCTTTTCTTAATTATTATTGTCAACACAAACACTCTGGGTGAGTTTTCTGCTCCAGATGAAAACTTTTGCACAGTGGCCTCTTGGCTGAGGCTTATTTTTTACTCTGTTTGTTTTAGTTTGCTACCAGGGAGTGAGAGTCAGGGATGTGTGGTTACTATAGCGATGTTCCTTCTCTCAGATTTTGCAGGATGATGTTGGGGTTTTTGTTGGCACCAGAACTCTTTGGTTCCGTTCTGTTTGGACCTTCAGCCTGAGAGGACCCTGTTCTGAGTGTTCACCTGTGAAGTCACTCACCTGTCGATGCCCAGCACCGTAACGATGCCCACCGTTGTGAACTGGTTGCTCACATCCACCACCACCACCGCCTTGCACATGAAGTTCCCGAACACCCACTGCCGGTCCCGGACCAGCTGGTGGATGTTGAAGGGCATGACCAGCAGGAACAGCATGTCGGCTATGGCCAGGTTCAGCACGTAGATGTCCGACACCATCTTCTTCTTGCACGCCGCCACCGCGTAGATGACCAGCGCGTTGGCGAAGACCCCCACGAAGCACAGGATCCCGTAGATGGAGGGCAGGATGTGCATGAAGGTGGTGATGTCCACGGGCCTGGGGGGTGTCCGGGGGAACACCTGACAGGACGAGTCGGTGAAGTTGTGCGTCCTGTTGCACGTGAAGTGCGAGTCGTTCATCTTCAGCTGGAGAGAAGTGGCTCCTGAGTGGTTTGGATGAAAGCGCGCACCGACGCGCGTTCTGCGCTCCGAGCTTGGGCACTAAAGTTCTCCTCCTTCCCCCTCGTCCTCACTTTGGATCAGACGTGGTGGCACAAAGCTGAAGACGCGCAGTAACCCCCCTCCTCTGAACATCTGTGATAGGTGGAGTGCGCAGCCGCAGCTTTTTACCAGACTGTCCCTCCCTCCGAACTGGTAATTATGTAACAGAAGCAAATTCAATGAAGGCTCGTTAAGTTTTTTAATTGGGTTGGAAAGTAAACAAACATTGCTGAAACCAAACTGGAAGGGTATTTTTAACTTATCATAAACAAATCATCTGTCCTGCTGCTCACAGCACAAACATCTGCATATGTTACAATATAACTGCTTGTTTGAGGCTTATTTTTCAGTTTGCTTCTGTCTACCTGTTGTTACTAGTCAGTAAGTGAGTGAGAGACGCAGGTGAAGTTACCATGGTGACCACTGGTAGCAGTGCCATTTCTATTAACTGTTATTAAACCAGTTACATGCTGTTGAGACCACAGATTTTTTTTAATGTTTTGGACTAAATTAGGAAACAGGACCCAGAGAAAACTCACGCAAAGAACATGCTAAACTCTGATTTTCTTTTGATCGTTGTTTTCCTTACACTTATACAGTTTAAACTTAAAAAAATGTTGGATTTTTTTCTTAACCTACAATATATTACAAAAGTAAATTGTTTCAGCAGACGCTACAAGTTTCACAAGGAATTGACCAGTTAACCCAGTCTTCTTTACAAATGAGTTAATTATCCATCATTTTTACCCACCTTTTTGGGTCATGAGGTTCACTGGTGCCCATATCCACCAGTCACTGTGCTAAAGGAGGTGTCTCCAGTCCATCACAGGGAGAGAGACAAACAACCATTCACTCTCACTCACACCTCTAGCATGCATGTTTTTGGTATGTGGGAGGAAACAGGAGAAAACCCACACATGCACGGAGAGAACATGCAAACTCCACCCAGAAAGTCCCCCTGGACTCTCTCACTGAGAGGCAGCAGCTCTACCAACTGTGCCACCCTGAATGATCTACAAATATCTTAATTTTGGATTTAATATTTATAAAATTCTCGATAAAATCCTTTAAATGAAGCAAACTTTTAAAAACTATTCTTTTGTTAAACACATTTGCATCATGAACTTGTGTTCTATTTTGTATAGGCTTCGCCCTTTAAGGCTATCGCTAGTGGGTTTATCCCTTTGCGCACAGCACTGAAAAATTTAGTCCACGCCCACCTGCTGTGTGGGCCTCACCTCCGGTCTGTATAAATTACGGTGAGACCAGGTAATCGGATCCCATTTTTTCTTCAGCCAGCTAGCTAGCACTGTCAGAGGAATGAAGAAGGAAAAGTTGTCAAACTTTGACCAGCACAACCTTTGCTAAGGATGCCTGGGTCTCTGCCACGCCAACCTCCTGCCATCCCAGTGAGCTCTTCCTCCCTGAGGAGAAGCAGAGACGAGCAGCCTTGTTCAAGGTAAGCGCAGAGGAGTGCTTTTCCATGGCGGGCCGCTACCCGCTGGACGACGCCATCGCCTTTTCTAACATTTTTTCCTCGTGGTGATTCGGATGATTCCCTTGAAAAAGGTGATGTTAGCAGCAGCTCCGCTGAGTGTTTTTTCCGTGGAGGGCCTCTACTCGCTGGATGACACCACCACCTTTTCTAACGTTTTTTCCTCGCGGTGAATCGGATGATTCCCTCGAAAAAGGCGATGCGGGCAGCAGCTCCGCTAAGTGTTTTTTTCCATGGCGGGACGCTACGCGCGGAATGACGCCACCGCCTTTCTTTGACGCAGAGTCACGCAGTGAATTGGATGACTCCTCCATGAAAGGCGATGCTGGAAAAAACCTCACTGCCTCTTCCCTCCTGGAGAGCATAGTGACGGAAGAAGAGCGGTTGAACGGATGCTCAGCTACCTCGGGTCTTCCCACGTCGGCGACCACACCGCTCCCAGACGCCGGCGCCCTCCTCTCGGAGTTGCCCGGCAAAATCCAGGAGACTGCTACCACAAGGGACTTTCCGTCCCTCTCCTCCCTGATCAGATGATCTGGTGGTAAGGTTTGGCTCCGCTCCGGCTCGTCGCCCTGATCCCATCTGGCCTCGCTGTCCAGCTGTGACGTCACATGGGAATGAGGCTGCAGCTGGGCCCGGCAAGCTGAAGACATATGTCTCCACCTTCACCTCCATCTCCAGAGTGGAGGGTTTTTACCGATCGGTGTTTTTTTTCTCAGTTTTCCCCTCTGGAGCCAAGCCAGGTGGAGGCGCTTGGGGCAAAAGCTTCCAGGATGGACCGGCAACCTATCCCTCCAGGAAAGCATGACCAGAGGGTGACAAAGCTCTCCAACCGAGCTCACCAGTGCACATCTGAGGCGGTCGCAGCCAACAACAACATCGCTCTGCTGGCCTACAGCATCTCAATGAGGCTTGAGGAAGCAGACCTGCTGGGGGAGACAAAGGGCTCTCTCTTTAAATCTGCTGGCGTCATCTTAAACATGTGCGCCACCTCTGCGGTCTGCCTGTCCCGCATCACCGACCAGATGACCATGATCCAGAGGACCACTTGGCTCCGCCTCTCGCCATCCTTGTTCAAGAGGCTGCAGAAAGACCTGCTGGAGGGCCCCATCACCCCAGAGGCACTGTTCGGGGCCAACTTCAGGAACGTCCTTGAGAAGTTGCAGAGGTCCGAGGAGGTCTCAGAGAATGTACACCATCTGGCAACGTCACAGTCCTCCTCCCGCCCCTTCGGCCACTGGAGAGACCACCTTGTCCAGCAACAACAGCAGAGGAGCTCCACAGCTGCGGCAGCGACTTCCCGCTCCGCTCCTCCACCGGCCCCCTCCACCAGGTAACAGATCCTTGAGGGGAAGGTATGTGTTTTTTTGATTATGTATGTTTTGATATAAAACAGAAACACTTCTGAAAGTAAAGTTTTCATCTGAGACTGTCAGATCAGCTGATCTCACAGCTGCCTCTCTTCACACATTCCCCGCCCAGAATGAGCCAGTAACCTCTAAACAGTGTTTTAAATGGCACCACAGTTCAGTAAATATCACAAAACATTTGTCTGCCACGTCTGCTAAAATTATGTTTTTTCAACAGACCGAGTCCTGTAAAATCCCTCGTTTTCAGCCAGAGCTCGTTTTTAATTTCTGCTATTTTCTGCCCACTCACAGCGCAGCGAGAGTAAACGTGTTTCTCCACGACAGCTGCAGCCTCCACTGAAACGGCGTCTCACTCAGAAAGCGCTCACGCCTCCTCTCAGTGTGCGCCGGTTCACCTCAGCTCTAATGTGAGACCGCAGCCTGGGCTCAGCACAGAGGCACACATACAGCCCTTTTTTCTGTCGGAGCCCCCCTTGGGTCCCCCCGGAGAATCTTCGGAGCGAGTGATGGCAGCAAGGCTTTTAGTCTGGTTGACGTTCATGAGAAACATGACACAGCACAAATGCATGCCCCCTCTCCGAGAGGTACTCTGAGTGGCAGCGAGTGTGTTCCTTGGACAGATGGATGGACCGTCTGATCAGTAGGGGTTACACGCTGCAGTTCGCAGCTCAACCCCCACTGTTCAGAGGGATTATAGAGACGGTTCTGTCTTCTCCAGAACAGAGCTCGTCCCTCCAGTCAGAAGTTCAGGAATTTCTGACGAAAAACGTGATTTCCAGATTTCCCAACGGAGAGGAAAATACAGTTTTTTTTTCCTCCCACTACTTCCTGGTTCTGACAAAAAAACGGAGGGATGAGACTTATTCTCCACCTGTTCATGTTCAGCAATTCGATCATGGGGAGACAATTCCACATGCTGGCAAACAGCTGCTGGAGAACTTCACGAGGAGGACTGGTTTTCACCTCCATAAATCTGAAGAGTGCATATTTTCAGATTTTCCATCATTCTGAAACACCCCACGCACATTCTCAAAATGCATGAAGATGGCTCTGCAATCGTTACACATGGCAGGAATGAGAATTCTTTTTATCTGGACGATCTGCTCTTATTAGCTCGGTCCAGTTAGAAAGCAGTCGCACAGACCAAAACGCTAGTGTTACACCTGCTAAACCTGGGGTTTTCTATAAACTGGGAAACAGTTCAGTTTGTCCGTCCCAGATGATTGTTTATCTGGAAGTGGAGCTAAACTCAACTACAATGAAAGCCCGTTTATCACAGCTGAGAGCCGAAGCTCTATCAGCTCAGCTCCGCCGTGTCAAACCCTGCAGCATAGTGACAGTTTGCCTGTCATGCGACGCCTGGGATGATGTCAGCGGCCCACATCGTGGTTCCACTGGGCCTACTTCACATGAGACACCTTCAGAGATGGTTCACCTGCCTGCGCATAGATCCTGTGTGCCAGAAGAGATAAATTATCTTTATGCCCTCTCCATGAGAACCGATCTGAATCACTGGGGAAACCCCCTCATTCTGTCAGAGGGAGTTCCCATCAGCAGGGCTTACGTCACACGTTTCAGTTTTCACAATTGTGTTCCTGTCAAGACGGGAGGAATGTGTCTGTCCCAGTCATTGGGAGCACAGTGGCTGGACCACATGTCGCTTCACATAAATGTGCTAGAATGTTTTCACGGTCTGAAATGTGACTCAACATTTCGCCCCCCTGCTGCGGGAAGTGTGCACTCAGCCTAACTGTTATGCATCGCGAAACAGCTGTTGTGTTGGGCACACAAACACCTGCTCTCCATCAGAGAAGTGTACATTCCCAGCATCCTGAACAGGCAAGCAGATATCATGTAGAGGGGCGGTCCCCACCACAGAGACTGGATCCCCCATCCCGAGCTGATATTTCAGATTTGGAGTAGGTTCGACTGAGCAACAGTGGATCTGTCCGCCACATGGGAGAATGCCCAGTGTCATTTATGGTTCTCACTGAACCCACGAGACGACCCACCATTAGGAGTGGACGCCTTCACTTACAGCCTGTGGCCAAAAA